CATCAGATGCTCGACAAGCTGGCCGAGGATCCTCCTGTGAGGGGAATCCCCTATAGCGATGACATGGATAGTCCTTTTGCGGGATTGCCATCACTACAAGGTAGCAGCACGTTATTGAGCCTTTTCCCGCTCAGAGGCTGCTCTCAGAGACGCCTTTCGCGGATCAACAGTTGGTGCTTCGGTTGAAGCTCCGTGCTTGCTGTGTCGTTTTCTACTTTGGTGATGGAAACCCTCGCCTCCGAGACAAAAGAAGAGATTTCCAAGAGAAGTTGGCCAAGCGTCAAGCGCTCCTGGATATTCTAGCGTAGGCGTAGGGTGGCGACCTCTTCCACGACGTAGCGTCTGTTTCCGTGTCAACAGCCACTGTGTAGTAAGGGTTCACATCTTCGCTCTGAAGGTATATAAATCAAGCATGGAATTACTACGATGACCAAGTAGCGGCAGATATTGTGGCAATGACTGCGGCTAACATATTCCGCACGGTAGTAGGGGAGTGGTGGTATGTCTGTGTGATACTGAGACGTTGGCGGCATGGCGGATTACTAGAAGGATTTAGAAGGAAAAGGAGGCTATTGAGCTTGTTTGTAACACGATTATCATAACGAAAATTTTTGGATGTGCCGGGAATTGAACCCGGGGCCTTCTGCATGCGAAGCAGACGTGATACCGCTACACCACACACCCTGTGTTTTATTCACCGTTTGACGGGTCTCATCCCTATGCCTTATCAGTTACCCCCTCGGGTTAAAAACCCAATGGCACTCTTCGATTTGGAGGAGGAAGAGGCAGTCCTTGACCAATCTTGGCCGCATTTGCAGACGGTGTGAGTGCCGCTCAAGCGTTTCCAGTCTCCACTTATATCCATGCAATTAGGTATGAGATTTTCTTCCGGTTCATTGTGTGTCCGATAGTTGAGCCTCGGTCGTTGAAGAAACATATAGATAACAAGTTCATATCGAGGTAGTAGTAGTAGTAGTAGTAGTAGTAGTAGTAGTAGTAGTAGTAGTAGTAGTAGTAGTAAAAGCGAAGCGAAGCTTCCGATCAATACCGGCATTCAGCAGATTTCTATTGACTTT